GCTGTGAAAAAGTCCAGCCGTTGCTGTGGCAATGGGGGAGAAAGCAGAGGCAAGAGCAAAGGGCTTTGAGGAGGGCAGTGACTGCTGAGGTTGTGCCGGCCAGAAAGAGATTTCCCGTGGAGGCAGAGGCAAGCGTTTAGGGAAGCGCCAGGAACAGTTCATTTGAGCAGTAGAGAAAACTGGAGAATAATGGCAAATGAGGGAGAAAGAAAGTAGATTTGGGGCCGAGGAGCCAGGCTAAGCTTTAGTGAATTGCGCAGTTGGATTTGTTCAGATGATCAGAACCTTGGGTGAAATGGCCTGAGCCTGGTTTTTGTAGATGGTGTAAATGTGGAGCATTGGAATGAGATTGGCCGAAGCAGAGAGGCAGCAGCTCAGAGCAGTGAGGGTGGTGGCAGTGGGACTAGAAAAGAGTGTGTGGACAGGAGAAAGATGGAGAAGGAAGTGAGGTGTTGGAGCCTTGAGGGAAAAGGAGAAATTCGAGTGAGCAGACTTGTTCATCTTGTGAGCGGTGATCATTAGTACACTTAACAGTGATACACACCAAGAGTGTGAAACACAGCAGAAACAGTATTCTAATACATTTGTAAAACAAATACAAATGTCTTGCTAAACTGAATCTATAGTGGTAAAGAGAACAGTAGCTTTCTATTAACAAGCTCCATTCAACATTTAACAACCACATAACTGCTGAGTTTGAGGGGCAAAAACCCTGCCACGTTTAATTTTAAACAGAAATAGCCAAGTCATTTTAAATAATTTTGAGACCTCAAGATCTTTATCCATGAAATAAAGAGATTGGGCCCTTATCAAATGTTGTGTGAGCGCTAACATTCTATAATTCCATCACCACCAACAACCATGCCAGTTCATGGAGACACGTCATAGATAGTTCTGAGTATTTGTTGTATGAATGAAATTCCATGATACTTCTAAAATACTATTTTTTGGGGGAAGAGGTTTTAGTTATAGGGCACATACACTTATCGAAGAGACAGAGAAAAAGTGAGAATTGACCCCCCAAGGGGAATGGTCACACCACACCCTTCTCCTCCATTCTCCTCTAGGGATTTTGGGAACACACGCACACATGCCCAGCATGAATTTTAAGCTGCCAGGTCTGGGACTTGAACCGTGGTCGAACCGTGGTCGACGTGGGAGTCCAGGGACATAACCAGTATGCCATCTGCTGATCCCAAATACTATGTTTTCTTTTGTTTGTTTGTTTTGTTTTGTTTTTATTTTTTCTGGAATATTTTCCTTTTTTGCTGTCAACACTTACTGATTTATAAGACTACATTTTTCCAGAAAGGATTTTCTGCATTTCTTGGATTTGCCCACCTGCCTACCTGCTGATCCTCACCCCCTGCAAACCTCTATGTTTCTTGTCTCTTTCAGTTATTTGCCAATTTGATGAAAATCTTAGGTGGTGGTGGTGGTGGTGGTTGGGGGTGGGTCAGGGTTCAATTAACATATAAGTAAGCAACGTAACAAATTCTGTTAGGTTATCTACTCTGCGAAGCCTTTTGCTGGTTTATATGCTACTCCACAATCCTGCAGAGCAGGGGACTGGCAAACTGGCCTGTAAGCTAAATTGGCGTTTACACTTTTAAAGGGTGGAATGTTTTTAAAAAGGAAGGATGTCGCAGAGACTACGTGGCCTACCAAGCCTAACATGTTCATATCGAGCCCTTTAGAGAACATGTTGGCCAGCGCTGTGAGACCAGACTTGCAGGGCCTGCGGTAACCGAGCAGAACGCCTTCCTGAAGCCCTCAGAGGACCTCGAGTCATACTTTGTGGAACTGGAGAAAACGAGTGTTTGGGCCTTTCTTCCAGGTAAGAAAGTCAGGTTTTATCTGAGATGCACTGGCCTAAGCGGCTTCCAAGGTCTGGGCCGTGCTAACAAACCTGTGTTGACTGGGCTGTGTCCCAGACCCTGCGGTATGTAGTGCAGTTGCCCCTACAGGCTGGCTCTACAGGTCACCAGCCGTGTGGCCGGGGCAGGTTTCTTCACCAGAATGTGGAGCACGGCAGATGCTGGGAGAGGGGCCGGCCCCACCCCAGAGTGGGCAGACCCTGCGGATCTGCATTAACGGCTGTGGCTGCGTCTCCCAGGGAGTGGCCACTTCAGGCATGCTTTATTTCCTCCTAAATGAACCGAGTGTGTGTTCTCTCAGCACCAAGAAAATGAGTTCAGATGTCAAGCTCCTCCTGCCCCGATCCCGCACCCTGACCCCAGAGTGGCTGGATGCTTGGCAGGGTGCACAGTCACATGGTCTCCAGATCTTGTAAAAGCTGGTTTTCCTGTGCCTAATCTCATGGGACTTGGACACAACCTACGACAGTCATTGATTCAGTTCCCACTGGCGTTGAACTTCCTGAGAAACTTAAGAATTAAAATACACACACACTCCTCAGATGGAGCCAGACACTAACCCAAGTTACCTTCTGCCGGCCACCTTTTCTTTAGGGTTAGGACTAAAAGAAAGCCAAGAGCAGTTTCAGAAAGAACCCCATTCCTCTCCTCACCAGCTCAGGGGAGGCCAGAGCTCTCAAGGGGAAAGGTTGACAGCAGGTGCCAACTAGGTACTGGCTCTGGTTCCCAGCAGGACTGGCCTGCCACAGCGGGAGCTGCTGCTTGTTAAAAATATGTCTCTTGACCTTTTGTGGCTTGGCAGTCTCAGGAGCTCAGATGTTTGTGAATCAGGTTGAAGGGCTCTCAAGTTCAAGTCACTGGCAGCTTGTTTGGAGAGGAGACTTGGAGTTCCTAAATTTCTGATGTAATCAGAGACAAAGCCTCATTCAATGAGACCGAAGGTCATTTGTCTCTGGAGGCTTGCCCTGTTGCCAGCCTGAGAGATGGCATCTGTAGTCTCCCCTTCCCCCTACCCCCACAGGTTGATTAGGGAGTGGAGGACCCCAGTATCTGCCGTCTCCGTGGTGGCCACAGGCTTGGATGAAATTTAGTACACTGATGAGGAGCTTGCCAGAATCAGAGCAGCTCCCCTCCCAGGGGTACGTTTAGTTTTGCATTGTTAAAAATACATACTGAGACAGAAATTTCAGGACGCTAAGTGACCTAGAAATCGGTCCAGAGGTTCCTATCTCTCCACTGCACAGAGCTCAGGCACTTCATGTCGGCCTCTAGGACAGACTGTTCCTCTTACATGTCTGAGCAGATTTGGAGCTTCCAAAATGTTGTGGGAGAAGCAGACTTAAAGGGATTTGCCCTGCTCTGTGAGGGAGGAATTCAGCCAGCATTAATCTCTCTGAGAAAGTAGCCACAGGTTTTGATGTGATTTGCTTGAGAACAGTAATAGTCACCTTTTTTCTTCTTTCCACCAAAGATATGGGTTAATATTTCTATGAAATCTTGCTTGCCTCATTAGGACTACCTTGAGCTTAGAGGGCTGGAGGGGTTTTGTTTCTAACTTATATGACAAGGATTCACAGAGGGATGGTGGGGACAATGATTTCAGGAAATACTCCTTTTTGGCAGGGATTCAAAAATGTGCTGCTGGACTTTAAGACAGGAAGACTCTTTGCCTCAATGCTGGTAATCGAAGCCACTCTCCCACCACCATCTACTGAGGATTTACTGCGTGATCACTTTCTGGGTACCCAAGTGCTCTCTCCAGATAACGCAGGAATGTAGGTACCCTGTTTATTCCCATTTTCAGATGAACTGCAGGAGGGTAAGTAACTGCCCAGCTTGCTCAGTGGAGCACCCTGTCTGCAGAGCGATCCTAGGCACGGGGCGTGGGCCTCTGTGGGTGTCGTCAGGTATCCTGGAGTCCAGACTAGTCGGTGGAGCTGCTCGTTTCTGCAGACGCCCAGCATGCAGCCTTGCCTTACTTAAGGTGAGGTTCCTGGATCAGCAGCACCTGGCAGCTTCTCCAAAATGCAGAGCGTTGGGAGACCTGCAGATGTTCACACCACATCTGTTCGCGAAGTGCTCTCTCTGCTACTGGGGAAGAATACCTCCCTTTCCCTCTATTCGTCCTCTTTGTTTAATCTTGACCAGTAATTTTTAAGTTATTTAAAGGTAACAGATACTAGGCTGGCCCCATAATGTAGGAGTTAAAGGAGCTGGATTTCACGTGGCCAACTATGGTTAAAATTCTGGCTCCAGTGGCTTGAAAAACACACTGGGTGTGTGTGCACACATGCCCTAAATCCTGACAGAATGGAGAAGTGGAGAAGAGATTGTGTGTGACTGCTCTCTGTGGGGGAGTGGTCTTTCTTTCCCCCTCCTTCTCTCTTGCTCTCTGTCAAGCATAAAAAAACTGGCAACTTAAAAAAAAAAATATGGGGCCTACAGTGGTGTCGTAGTCAAAGTGCTGGACTCCCATATGGCCAACTATGGTCTGAGTCCTGGACCTGGAGGCTTGAAGCTCACGCCAGGCGTGGGTGCATTTATTCCCAAAATCCGTAGAGAAAGAAGGGATCAGAGCCTGGCCATCCCTCTGGGGAGTCATTTCTCACTTTCTGTCTCTGTCTCTCCAGCAAGTGCATGCGCCCTATTGCAAAAATATCTCTAAAAACAAAAACAGTTATTGAAAAATCACAATATCTCAGAATGTCTTACCGGGAAGTACTCAAAGCCACAGAACCAGAAGAATATTATGATTTCTGCTATCTTTGAATTACTTTTCAGAAATTAAAATTCTAACATGTAAAAAATGCTAGGCCCAGGTGAGCCCTGGGGACCTGAGTGGTCTCCGCTTCAGTTGCTGCCAGGTTCTGTGTTGGGCTGTGCTCCCATGTGGGACTGCAGTGCAACCCGGAGCCACCCTATAGCATACGCCTCTTGGCCGGAGAGGCAGAGTGAGAACCAAGCTGTCAACAGCCCTGGTTCCTGCCAAAGCCCATTTGTCTGCCTGCCAGCCAGGATTCTAAAAATGCATTTGAGATTTTTGACTTTCGACTTTTATTGAATGTGAAGTTCTGCTACGTATATATAGTCTTGGTGAGTGTACCCGTTTAGGGATTGCTGTTGTATTTTGTCTTACAAGACATAGATCCATTCCTGGGTGAGGTAAGAACTAGGCCACTGGGAGGGGCTTCCTCCCCTGCTCAACCCCCACCTCCCCTGCCTCGTCCCTGCACTGCCCTGTGTGTAGGTCCGCATTCTGAAACTCCCATTCAGTCTGCAAAATACTATAGGACTAGAGGTGAAGTCCTGTAGTGTTTTGATGTGTGAGTAGCAGCGATGTCGGCATATGAGCAGGCTTTGTAACAGGCTGTGGGGCTGGGGTGTTCCCAGGCTTGTATAACTTTCTGGTCCCCCAAAAGGGGCAACATGAAAAGATTGAAATGGAGGGTCACTAAATGCTGCCATTTCTGTCCACATTTTATTACTTTGGACCCAGTGTTACAAAAAATTAAGCTGTTCAAGATGAGTATCAACTATGGCAAGAGAGTATTACAGTAGCAGTACTGTGTCTTTGTATTTGGAAATCAGATCTCAGTTCGAATCCTGGTTTCAGCATCAGGACAAAATCCTTACTCCAAGCCTTATTTTTCAAATTTCAAGTATAGTTAGATTTTTATGTGTACTTTTATCACTTAGAGACTGTATAATACCTGCATTAAAAATAGTGTTTTTTCTTTATTTATGGTAGGGTTTGTGTACATACTTATGAGAACAGGTGAGACAGAGACAGAACCCTTCACAGGGCCTGGTCATGCGCCATCTTCTCCCCTAGACCTCTAGCCCCTGGGAGCCCGCGTACTTGCGTGCATGCCCAGTGAACATGCGCAGTCTGGGCACCCGCATGCCTGCCCACCATGGAGGCGTCATGTTCCTGGCTGTCAGGTGGGATGAGGTCACTCAAGGCTTGGGTTAGGGAGCATCCAGCAGGTCTGTGCCCTGACCTGACCTGTGATGGACAGCACCAAGGTAAGGTGCTCCCTTCACACAACTGGAATGTGGCTGTTCTCCCAAGTCTCCGTTTTCTGGATTTAAGAATAATAAATGGCTAATATATTTACTATAGTGGCCTCCCAGACTTTGCAAATATACTTTTTTTTTTTTTTTAAATAATTTGCCTTATGGCCTTGTCTGTGCACCTCTGCAGCCTTCTGTTAAGTTGCAGGCCACTGAGCACAGAGCATGGGCGTTTTTCTCGCTACAGGAGGACTTGCTTAATATGTGCCTGATTTCCTTCACCTTCCAGTGCCCGCCTTGGAGGCAGAACAAGAACTTAATCCTCCTGAGGCTTCCGAGGGGCTCCAGGGAGTCACTGAATTCTGTAAAGAAGGGAAAGGTCAGACTCCACCGGCAGTTCAATCATCTGACCCTGACACTGTCATGAATTCCAGAACTTCCACAGTTAAAAATATTTTATTTTCTTTAAGTTTATACAAAATACAGTCATGTACAAAAGTGTACATCACACTTTTCATTCAGTTTACAGTTTACAAAAGGAAAACGGTCATTTCAGATGCTTTTCTGCTTACGTGTCATGTAAATGCTGTTCCAGGCCCATATTACTAAAATCATTTCCATTCCTGGAGATTTTCATGACTGAAGAGGTGCTTTTGGTAGAGAATCAGATCGACCGAACCACTTTCTCAGTCGTATCCAGGCTGGCCTGGTTCTAGCCACAATGAGATTTGCTAAAGACATACCACAGCTTTGTAGTACCGTGCAGTTGTGAAGGTAAGTGACCTTTCATTTTACCTCTGTATCTGCGTGTCTCTATTCTGATCTCAGCCTCTGCACTTACATCTGCTGGGCTCAGAAGAGTCATGATGCATTTTCAATACGATATTATGAAGGCTCCTCCTCCCCTGGGACATGAGCTCTACTTGGGAAAGTGGCCAGGGGCAGCACAGTGGCCGACACGAAATATTACTCTGGTTTGGAGTGTGCCTTGTCGGCCACCATTTGTAGCAGTGGCAGTGGGCAGATTTGAGTATCTAAAGATTTGCAAATATGTTTAGCCCATCCTTTGACTCCGGTACCTTTTGAGGTTAAGTGGGAAAAACCATCAAAGGGAATTAATGAAGGGAAGGAAAGCACATTCTTGATTCTGCCAGATGCAGGGCTCTGAGGAAACTCTGTGGCAGCGTTTTAGTCTAGTTGTCTCCCTCCCCATTGAATTAATCATGTAGATACTGAAAAAGAACATCATGGAGGTGTTAACCTTAGTGCAGCAACTACCATCCCCTGCCTAGGGGAAGAAATGCAAGAAGCAGTATTTCAGAATTTAGACTACCAATCAGCTCTTCACTAAGCAGTTAATAGTCATAAAACTTTATGATTTGATTCCTTGTAAATCTGCGGTCAGTTCTGGAGACTGGACCCAATTCTCTCTACTGAGACGCAGAACAACTTAACTGGCATTATGTTGGAGAAACCTATTGACTTACAAGGAATTCCAGGCCTCATCACATTTACAAATGCACATCTTCTGGGTTTTCAAGACTGCTAGCTCAGGACATCTTGGTGCAATATTTATGACATAAGCACAACCCTGAGGCATTTGTCCTGAGCTAGAAATACCACACCTGGGAGCAGGCCCGCCCTGGAAGAAGCTCTTCCTCACCATGCAAGCAGTGCATCAGAATGAGACAAAGCAAAAACTATCCTGTTATTACAAATGGAGACATCACAGTCTTGGCCACGAATTCTTTTTTCTTTAACTGGCAACCAGAGGGAAGGCATCTTATCGAGTAGCTCATGATGCATTCCACCTAGCAATTTACAAAAGAAAAGTTCTCCAGTTAGAAATTTGATTTCGTCTCTCATGGAAATGGTCCAAGGTGGGAGATCACTGAGGCGGTGCCGGCTTGCTTCTCCCAGCATTGGGCAATCCCATACTGTCTTGGAAAACGTAAATAGGCCCTCCTCCTAAACCTGGCACCTACACGTCTTAGAAAGCAGAATCTGAACTAAACGATTCAAAGAGGAGACGCAGTAACGGTAATCATACTTAACACAAACATCGATTTCCATGTTGACACTCCAAGTGCAAAAGCGCTTATGACGACTACAAGCTGTTGCCGCCTCTAATTCTTATGATCATATACCCGGGTTTATTCATGCTTTATCTTTACTTATCCTTGCTATTAAGTAACCCGTGACATTTATTTTGTTGGCATGTGCTAATAAACACACACATTCCCAGGAGAGCAAAGGATAAAACCCCGTTCAGAGCGTTCTGTCTGTGTGAAGCCAATTAAGATGCTGCCTCCAGTGCCTTGAGATCCTAGCTGCAGACACGTTGCTGTGGAAACACACAGGCCTTTGCACCAGATCCAGAAACCACTAACATGCTCCAACTAGCAACTCGTGTAAACAGGGCCTTTCACCCCTTAATTTGGGCTCCATGCTATGAAGAGTATAGATGAACACAATTATAAAGGAAAACACATTTCATACACGATTTAGTTTACTGTAATTTGGTGTTCTCTTTTATTGAATCATACAAATTTGAACTGGGATTCCTGAATAAATCTTATAGTTAACTTACCTTTGGCAGATATAACAGATTTCAAAACATTTAGTTCTCAGTTATATGTAGTTTTAAAAAAAAAATCCTGTGGTAGTTTTTTTTTTTTTTTTTTCTCCAAAGCAATACACTTAAATAGATGTGCTTTAAAAGTTAACTGGTAATGATTTGATTTATATTCTAGCTTATTTATGAGAACAATCACAAAGGACAGACTAGACATGTATTGCTTTTACAAAGTACAATTTTTGGTCATGTGAGTGATTCATGATCAGATTTCAAAAATAGAAAACGTCCTAAAGTGCATCATTTTATTTATAATATAACTCCTCAAAATTATAGTGATCTGCATTGTAAACAGTACAGTGAAAAATACCAAACTATGTTTTCATGTACACCGAAGTTTGTAGGGTTATGTACCGCCTGAAAGTGTGTGGATTAAACCAGGGCGCTGCCAACACACAGCTCATGCTTCTGTACGCTTATTTTAAAGAGCAGCTTAAAAGCCTTCTTTCTTCTTCACTTCCAGCTTACACCCTTTTCCCTGACGGAGGAGAGCTGCTACCTCACTTCAGCAATGAAAGATGCTGCTGTAATTCCGATCCGACGACCATTTTTAAAACTGCCAAGTGGTCAGTACAGTTTTACATTCTTTTCTTATAAAAATCAACCACAGTACCCTTTAAGATAGACTCCAAACACATACAGGAGGGCATCCCTGCTGTCTGGTTTTTCTGCAGTGTTGTCTTCAAGAGGCAGGGCCTGCTGACATTGCCTTCTCTTGGCAGCCACCTGCCCTCGCTCTCCCAAAGCCCAAGGCGGGCCCCGAGCCCACCTTCCTCAGGGCAGACGGATAAGACGGAAAGACAAAGACAAATCACAGCGTGATGTCCAGCACACTGAAGAGATGAATGATTTGGTGTCTTAAATTCCCTGGTCCCTCCAACATGTCTAATATAGACAGATTGGTGACATAGTCTTTGAAACAATTACAGTCATCATTAGCCACATCCCATTATTTTTCTCTTTTAATGCATGGTCTTGAAAATAGTGTGATTTAGGTTTGGCCCTCTGCTGAGTTTCGAGGGCTACATTTACTTGTCAGTTTGGGGGGTTTTAGTGCAGGTTTACTTTTTTTTTTTTTTTAATTAAAGTCTCTCAGGAGGCTGAGAACACAGGCTCCCCTCTCTCCTATGATCCTCTACACTTGGCTAAGGAGTAAGCGGGACCCATGATGTTTGACTAGTGCCTCAAGGAAACGGGGCCCCAAATGGGCTCAGCTGCTTGGCTGCTAGTTGCTTCGTGTTTGATGTTAACATTGGTGACCGACAAGTTAGTCACTTCGCAGAAAAGTCCCTCCAGCCTCTGTGCCTTAGTTCCCGATTTTAAACTCAGCATTACTGTAACTGCAGTTGCATTCCCTCTGTCCTTTTCAGATGATCGAGTCCCAGTCAGAGATCAAAATTCTTTGTCAGCCGAGGACGTCCTGAAGAAACACACCCTCAAAGGGATGATTCCACTGCAGTCATGGACAGATGCAGCTTCCATCCCTGAGCGCCGAAGGGGGAAACAGTTTACAAGCAGGAAAGGCGCAGCTCTGGAAAGGGCACTAGAAGGGCCGCGGCAGCAAGTAGGGTTCGAGGGGTACATTTTCTTGTCAGTTTTGGGGGGTTTTGTGGAGGGTTTTCTTTTTTTTTTTTTTTAATTAAAGTCTCTCAGGAGGCTGAGAACACAGGCTCCCCTCTCTCCTATGATCCTCTACACTTGGCTAAGGAGTAAGCGGGACCCATGATGTTTGACTAGTGCCTCAAGGAAACGGGGCCCCAAATGGGCTCAGCTGCTTGGCTGCTAGTTGCTTCGTGTTTGATGTTAACATTGGTGACCGACAAGTTAGTCACTTCGCAGAAAAGTCCCTCCAGCCTCTGTGCCTTAGTTCCCGATTTTAAACTCAGCATTACTGTAACTGCAGTTGCATTCCCTCTGTCCTTTTCAGATGATCGAGTCCCAGTCAGAGATCAAAATTCTTTGTCAGCCGAGGACGTCCTGAAGAAACACACCCTCAAAGGGATGATTCCACTGCAGTCATGGACAGATGCAGCTTCCATCCCTGAGCGCCGAAGGGGGAAACAGTTTACAAGCAGGAAAGGCGCAGCTCTGGAAAGGGCACTAGAAGGGCCGCGGCAGCAAGTAGGGCTCTAATGCGTGTTCACACTGAACTGGGTCCAGGAGACCACAGACGGGTGCTCTCCCGCAGCAGTCAGGTCTACGGAGTCAAGTCCTGAGCTTGTTTCGATCACAGTTACACGGAGAATGGCCTCATGCTTGTCAGCCATCCAGGGAAGAACAGCGCGTATTCTCTGTGGATGAGTGTGTCTGATGAAGCCAATCAGCACTGCTAGTGTCAGTAAAGCTCCCACTAGTGTGCACAGATGCGCAGGTGTGCACAGATGCACAGGTGTGCACAGGCAGCTTGATGATGCCAAACCCCTGTCAGCTTCCTCCTAGGCAGCTTCTACAGCAGGTGATGGAAACAGGAGCCGATTCCAGGGGCCTAGAGGCAGAAGGGCTGCGTGTGCATGGCAGGTCCAGCCTGAAGGCGGCCTTCCAGAGCTGCTCTCCAGCGGGAAACGGTCATGCTCTCTGTGGCTGCCCGGCCCTCTGCTTGGGCCAGGGCTGCCCTCTCACATGGACTTGGAATCAGTGTCCCTCTTGCTGATGAGCACCTCCAGGAGCCTGAGTTTAGCCTTGATGTGCTTGTATTCATTGTATTCTTCAGCCATGGGAGTGCGGTCTTCCTTCTGGACGTTTCTAATGGAAACAAAGGAAAAGGGGTCAGGGGTCATCTGCCTCCTCTAGGTGATTCCTGTTCATTAGGCAAATTACCATCATGTAAACACTCTGCGGCTTCTCCCCTGTGGAGTCAGGGTTGCCAAGTGGCTGGAGCTGGATTCAGAGATGCCGTGCGGAAGAGTGTCCCCCAGCAACCAAGCATCTTGTAGAATGATTTGAAGGACTCAGAATGCAGAAAATGTGTCTCTGCTGTTGCTTTGGAATTTCTTATACATTGAGAGCCTTTATTCATACCTAATGTCTACTTTTACATATTTCATTTAATGAACCCTTAAATTGCTAATTAGTAATCTGCATACCCACAATTTACAGGTCTTTCAAAAACAGGTAATTACTACTCCTACTTATTATACAATTAGTCTTGGAATTCAGTTGGAGCACATCAGACTAATAAGCCTTCATAGTTTATTGAGTAATTTTATATGCAGACTTGTTACATGCACAAGTACCCACTGAGAGCTTATTACGGGCCAAGCACTGGTCTTTGTGTCCGCAATCTAATCTAACCTTAAAGGACTTTAGATGGGGTCACTACCCACATTCTATACTTGATGAGACCAGGACAGCAGGCGTCCTCCCCCGTGACTGCTCCCCCGGTCCCCTGCTGCCATATGGCGCCCCCTCTTTTGCTCTGTGAAGTGCACGTGGCCAAAGTCAAACCCCTTATTATTAAAGAGCAAATGTGGGCAACAGGGTGCTTCATTTGCTCAACAAGCTCAAATTAAACTGATCGTATTCATGTCCTGCCTCATTCTAGGAAAGGATTGTGGAAAGAGGGCAGGGAAGAAAGAGGCCTCAGCATCAGTACCCAGCACCCAGTCCCGGCTGCACCCTTGGAGGGGCTTCATCCTCTTCGACAGAAACAGAACCAGGTCTTAATGCAGTCTTCAGTCCCTCAGCACTAAACTTTCATGGTGGGGTTCACTGCCACCATTTATACTTGCTCAACTTGGCAGGTTATAGGATTACAGGTAGTCCCTCATGTATGGGATCTAGCCGTATGAAAAAAGGAAGATAAACAGACAAACCAAAAGGACGTGCTGAAGAGGACTGGGAAGAAACACTTCAAAACATTAATCAATCCTGGGACCAGCAGTTAGCGTAATGGCTATGTTGCTGGACTCCCATGTAGTCGACCGTGGTTTGCGTCCCGGACCCAGTGGCTTAAAAAAACTCACGCCGGGAGCTTGTGCGTGCGTGCCCAAGATCCCAAGAGGAGAACGGAGGAGAAGAGATTGCGGCATGGCCATTCCCCCTGGGGGGGTGATTTCTCGCTTTCCATCTCTCTGTCTCTCTGGCGAGCGTACACATCCTATAACAAAAAACCTCTCCCAAAACAAAACATTAATTCTGATTTATCTTTGGGTATTATTGTTGTTTGGGGTAATTATTCTGTTTAGTTGCCTATGTATATCTTCTGCATGTACTGTAATGTATGGGAATGAAAAACATTTATAGTATAAAAATGTAAATCTTGAGAAAGTTATAGAAGATATATCCAGAGAGCCTAAAGAGAAATTAATACAGTAACAGAATTTAACTGGAATAAAACATTTTAAATGGCAAAGTTAATGGTGCTTTTATTTCCTCAAGTTCCAAGAAACATACAAGGGGACTCAAGAGAAACTATGTTTATACAGTTTAAATAATTTAGATGAAAATGAAGCCAATTAAAATAATAAAACCTAACTCCAGTGTGAAAAAATGCAAATCTATTCCTAGTGCTGTCCTTACATTCACACTATGGCCTTGAGTAAGACATTCTGAAGATCCCAAGAGGAGAACGGAGGAGAAGAGATTGCGGCATGGCCATTCCCCCTGGGGGGGTGATTTCTCGCTTTCCATCTCTCTGTCTCTCTGGCGAGCGTACACATCCTATAACAAAAAACCTCTCCCAAAACAAAACATTAATTCTGATTTATCTTTGGGTATTATTGTTGTTTGGGGTAATTATTCTGTTTAGTTGCCTATGTATATCTTCTGCATGTACTGTAATGTATGGGAATGAAAAACATTTATAGTATAAAAATGTAAATCTTGAGAAAGTTATAGAAGATATATCCAGAGAGCCTAAAGAGAAATTAATACAGTAACAGAATTTAACTGGAATAAAACATTTTAAATGGCAAAGTTAATGGTGCTTTTATTTCCTCAAGTTCCAAGAAACATACAAGGGGACTCAAGAGAAACTATGTTTATACAGTTTAAATAATTTAGATGAAAATGAAGCCAATTAAAATAATAAAACCTAACTCCAGTGTGAAAAAATGCAAATCTATTCCTAGTGCTGTCCTTACATTCACACTATGGCCTTGAGTAAGACATTCTGGGAACCAGCAGGTGGCGTAATAGTTAAGGCACTGGACTCCCATATATCCACCATGGTTCAAGTCCTGAACCTGGTGCCTTGCTTTCTCACTTTCCTTTTCTCTCTGTCAAATAATAATAAATCAAATTTAAAAACTCTTTAAAAAATTCTATGGCGAGTCATTTACAAACACAAGAGATAATTATATTTCTCAACATAATGCTGAAAAACCCACTGCACAAAGGCAGTCTATCGACCGTGAGCACGTTCCACTTCTCATATATATATTCCATTCAATCTAAGTAATTATCATCTTTGTTTTTAAAAAGGAATTAAAAATCAGCTAGGCTCCCGCCCCTGCGCAGCCAGCCGCATGCCGGGAACGGCCTGGCCCCCCTCCGGGGGCCCCGAGGCCGGGGGCTTCTGCCCCTGCGCAGCTGCGGGTGTCGGCCCCTCTGGGGCCGGCCTCCCTGGCCTCTCCGCGGGGGTCGGCCCCTGCGGGGCCGTGCCTCCCTGGCCTCTCCGGCACTGGATGGCCCGGAGGCCGAAAACAAGGTTGAAGAACTTGCAACTTGAGAAGATGACAGTTACGAGCCCTGCATTACCTCAAGGGAAAACAGGAACTACTCTGCCATTCTTAAGGAAGCCAGATACCCAAGGACAACTCACACTGCAGATGCCCACAACACCATTTCTGGTAACTACAAGATGACTGCTGTGCCACATCAGCTGATAATCATCCCTGCGTACCAGAACTGCTTTCTTGAAACTGCATTCCCTGGAGACTCACCTACACTTGTGGATCTGCAGGAGACCCTCCCTTAATCCAACCCTGAATAGAATCTATGCTCCCTATTGTCAAAAACTTTA